TCATCGAATCCTCCAAGTTCCCGGCGGCGCAGCCCCCCGACCCCAACCAGCCCGCCAAGATCGAGACCGACTACTGGCCGTGCCCCCCGTCCCTGGCCGTCGTGGGTAGGTGGGAATGGGGGGGTTTATCCCGCTCACAGACCCCCGTGGGGTGCCGGGAAGGGCTCTGACACCCCCCCTGTGCCCGCAGAGACGGAGTGGAGGAGGCGGATGGCCTCCAAGAGAGGGGAGGAGGAGGACGAGGACCTGACGGAGGAGATGAAGAACCTGCGGGAGCTCCAGAAGCAGGAGCTGAGCAAGGTGAGGGGCAGAGCGGGCGGGCGGTGCCTCGGGAGGGGCTGGGGGGGTGTTGATGTTGCTCCCAACGCGCGTTCCCTTCGTCCCCAGGTCACCTCCAACCTCGGGAAGCTGATCCTGAAGGAGGAGATGGAGAAATCTCTCCCGATCCGGAGAAAAACCCGCTCGCTGCCGGACCGGACGCCCTTCCACACGTGTATGTGGGGTGTTCATCCCACAGCCTGGCCCTTCCCTGCCTCACCCGCTGGCTCTGGCTGCCTGCACCCCTGCCTGTACCTCCCACACCCCTGCCTGTACCTCCTACACCCCTACCTGTGCCTCCCAATCCCTGCCTGCATCCCTGCCTGTACTTCCCAATCCCTACCTGCACCCCTGCCAGCTCCTACATCCCTGCCTGAACCCCTGCCTGCATCCCTGCCTGTGCCTCCTGCACCCCTGCCCATATCTCCTGCACCCCTGCCTGTGCCTCCCATTCCCTGCCTGCATCCCTGCCTGTATTTCACATATCCCTGCCTGCTCTTTGGCATCCCTGCCTGCACCCCTGCCCATACTTCCCAATCCCTACCTGCACCCCTGCCAGCTCCTGCATCCCTGCCTGCACCCTGCCTGTGCCTCCCACATTCCCATCTGCACCCCTGGCAGGTCCCACATCCCTGCCCGTACTTCCTACATCCCTGCCTGTACCTCCCGCATCCCTGCCAGCTCCCACGTCCCTGCCTGCCTCTCCCATGTTCCTGCCAGCTCCCACCTCCCTGCCTGCCCCCCTGACCATCTCTCCTCTCTTCCAGCCCTGCACACGAGCTACAAGAGCTCCTCCCTGCCAGCCTCGGGCAGGAGCACCCTCACCCGGGTGAGTGGGCAGCAGCAGCGGCCCCCCCACACTCCTGGGTTCTTGCCCACCCCGGACAGGCTTGAGGGGTGGCCCTGCTCTGACCCTGTCCCCTGTCCCCTGTCCCCTGTCCCCCTGCAGCTGCAGTCAGCAGAGTTCGGCTCGGCGGGGAGCGAGAAGGGCAGTCCAGGTGAGGATCAGCCCATGGAATGGGGTTGATTTTTGGGAGAGGGGGTGTGGGGGAGTCCCAGGGGGTGTGGGGGAGTCCCAGGGGATGGGGGGATGTCCCAAGGGTGTGGAGATGTCCTGGAAATGTTGGGGTGTCCCAGGGGATGTGTAGATGTGGGGGGGGATGTGGGGATGTCCTGGAGTTGTGGGTGAGTTCTGGGGGATGGGGGGGTGTCCCAGGGATGTGGGGATGTTCTGGAGTTGTGGGGGTTTCCCAGGAGATGTGGGGATGTCCTGGAGTTGTGGGGGTTTCCCAGGAGATGTGGGGATGTCCTGGAGTTGTGGGGATGTCCCAGGGATGTGGGGATGTCCCAGAGTTGTGGGGGTTTCCCAGGGGATATGGGGATGTCCGTGGGGATGTGGGGATGTCCTGGAGTTGCAGGGGAGTCCTGGGCACCCCGAGGGATGTGGGAATGTCCCAGAGATTCATGGGTGTCCTGGAGATAGGGGGGTGTCCCAGGGGATGTGTGGGTGTCCCAGACATGTGGGGTTGTCCTGGGCAAAGTGGGATGTTCGGGGGGGGGGGATGTCCCAAGGGATTGGGAGTGCTGGGGCAAACCTGGGCTCAGCAGAGGCTGGAGAACCACCCCTGGGGGCTTCTCATCACCTGGGGGAGGGTGCTGGGGGGGTCACAACAGGGGTGCCCAGAGCTGAACCCTGCTCCTCTGTGTTTGCCAGCCCTGCAGGTAAGAACTCACCTGGCTGCCAGGACAGAGACCCAGCGAGAGGGTGACGTATGATGGGATGGGGGGGACACACCGGGGCCACCTCTGGGACTGATCCCAGAGGGGACAGGGGCCAGCTGGAGGTGGGAGGGGGGCTGTGCCATGCCAGGCTGGAGCCCACCACCTCGGCCTGGATTCAGGTGGAGGAGAGCAGCCCTTTGGGGAGGGGGGGCCGGGCTGACACCAGGCTTTTGCCCCCCCCAGAACGGCCAACGCGGGCGCATGGACAGAGGGAACTCCCTGCCCAGCATGTTGGAGCAGAAGGTGAGAGGGGCTGGGGGGCCTTGGGGGGCTTGGACAGGGCTGTGAGGGGGCTGTGAGAGGGTCTTACAGCCGTGTGTGCCCCCCTTTCCCCCCACAGATCTACCCCTATGAGATGCTGATGGTGACGAACCGAGGCCGCGTGAAGCTGCCGCCCGGCGTGGACAGGACCAGGCTGGAGGTAGGGGCCGTGCCAGGGGTTTTTTTGGGGGGTGGGGGTGCAATGGGGGGTCCCTGCACCCCGTCACCGTCCCCTCTGCCCCCACACAGAGACACCTGTCCCCCGAGGATTTCCTGAAGGTCTTTGAGATGCCCCCGGAGGAGTTCAGCAAACTGGCCCTCTGGAAGCGCAACGAGCTGAAGAAGAAAGCCTTCCTCTTCTGAGCCCCGCCCGGCCCCGAGCCCAGTCCGTGTCGCGCCGTGTACCCGCTTTAGGGCTCTCAGCCGGTTTTTAGGGCCCCTTTCCCACACCCCCAGACCTGCCTCCCCCCTCCCGGCCTCGCTCCTCCCGTGGGAAACGGGCTTGGGAGGGGCTCGAACCTGCCTGGCCATGGGGTGATGGGGCAGCCCCTGCCCTGGGGTAGGCACGGTTCAGCCAGGAGGGGTGGTTTGGAGGGGTCTCTGGGCTTTGTGCCCCCTTTTTTCCCCCCCTACACCCCTCCCAGGACCACTGGCAGGGGCAGTGCCCGGCTCTGCTCTCAGCTGGCCAGGAGCGCGCTGGCTCCGGGGTGTGGGCACTGGATGGGGAGGGTGCCCTCCTCTCCGGGGGTCTACTGCCTTCAACCCCCACAGCCTGGGTGCCCCTGTGCCCCCTGGGTGCCTCTGTGCCCCCCGGAGTGCCCCTCTCCCACCCTGAGACTCGGGAAGAGCCCGGGGGCCGACTCACTGCCAGACTGATGTTCTCCCGGGAAAAACCAGGCTGCCATCCCACCTTGCCCCACTCCAGCCCCCCCTCCCAATTTTGAAACCCCCCCCCGGGTCCCTCCCGTGCCAGCTGCTGCAGCGAGGACCCCCAAGGACACTGCCAAACCCCCCTGGCACTGGGCAGGAGCGGGGCAGGGCTGGGAGGGGGGTGATGGGGAGCACCTGGGATGAATTTGGGGAGGGGGGGTCTCAGTGGGACCCTGGGGCAGCTCCTGGTGCATTTCCATGGGCA